TCCTCAGTGGGACAGGTTTCCTCCGGAGGTTTTCAGAGGTTTTCAGACAGAGGCTCGACGGCCATCTGACAGCAATGAGGATTCTGTGAACTCAGGCAGATCACGAGAAGGGAGGGCAGGAAGGGTTGCCTCAGTGCTTAGTTCTCGTGGCCCTTTCTTACACGCCCAGGGAAATGCCGATCACCCCTTTGGGGTCAGGAAGACATTTTTCTCCAGGCCTGTTCGGCTGGAGACCCTGGAGGGTTCTTTTGTCATCTTCTGGGGGTGTGTGGGAGGGGAGGTGTTTGTGAATTTCCTGCATTGTGCAGGGGGTTGGACTTGATGACCCTGGTGGTCCCTTCCAATGCTATGGCCCCATGACCCTTCTAAACCCACTGAAAGTCAATGGGTTACGAAGGGTGCCACCCTGTTTATGATGGCATGATGAATCAAGGTCTTCCCCATTCAAATTTCACCTCTGCTCCCAGCTCACCAGAAGGCCTGAAGCAAGCTGTTCTCCCTGGCCCTCAGCCCCCATCTGCATTGTGAGAAGAACAACGCTGGTGCATCTGACAGAGCTCTTGTAAGGGTTACAGTCAGTGTTCCCTCTAAGCTGAGTTAGTGTGAGCTAGCTCACAGTTTTTTAGCCTCCGGCTCACACATTTTTATCTTAGCTCAGGAAGGACGGCTCCAGAGCAAACTAACTTATGCAGTAGCCAAATCACTCGCTCACAATTTTAATGCCAGTAGCTCACAGAGTAGAATTTTTGCTCACAAGACTCCACAGCTTAGAGGGAACATTGGTTACAGTGACCCAATGCGCGAGAAGTGCTGTGGGTGCTCCAAAGCTCTGTACAGGTGCCCAGAAGAATGATGATGAAGCCCTCAAGCAAGAGCTTTGAAGGAGGGTAGGCAACAGTCACACAGAGAAGCCATCCCACTGGGCAGGACGCGGGAACGAAAAACTCTGCAAAGGCAACTTCCGAGCGGCAGGCATCGACAGATGTTCTCTGAACAGAGATGCTGGTTTCACGCGACCAACTTTAGAGAAAACTGCGTGCTATGCACCGTCAAGTCCCTTCTGACTTAACAGCGATCCTATGGGTTAATGACCTCCAAAACATTCTATCGTTAACAGCCTTGCAAAAAAACAAAACAAATCGAAAAGAGGCTTAGAAAACAGATCTCGAGAACCTTTCATTCTAGGATGAGGGCCAAAACACAACACTGTATCAAGCCCGTCACAATATGGGTGATGCACACAAGAATAAGAAGATGTGTGACAAAAGAAAAGAAGAACAGGAGGATGAGGACGAGGAGACTGGATTTATACCCCACCCTTCACTACCCAAAGGAGTTTCAGAGCGGCTTACAATCCCCTTCCCTTCCCCTCCCCACAACAGACACCCTGTGAGGCAAGTGGGGCCGAGAGATCTCTGACAGAAACCACCCTTGAGAGAACAGCTCTGAGAGAACTTGTGACTGACCCAAGGTCACACCAGCAGCTGCATGTAGAGGAGTGGGGAATCAAACCCAGCTCTCCCACTACACCAAATTGCAAGAGACGTTCATCTAGAAAACAGCTTTTCCTCCTCCACCCCCCCACTTTAGAACCCTCTTCTTCCCTCCTGCAAAGATCTAAGAGGCCTTCCGTGTTAAGGTTCCTGGACCTTCATCTCACACCACATGTGCCTTGAGCCACTCAGGGGCTCTGCAATCGTTCTCAATGCTGCCACTGGGCTCAAACCAAAAACAAGATGGGGCTCACCTCGTTTTCTTCTCCTTTACGTGCTTCGGCGACTTCAGCTCCTGCCAGGAAGGAAAATCGCTTTGAAGAAACTGCTCTGCCATGAGCTGGAATGTCTCTACCTGCAGAAGACACCCTACAGTCAGAAAAAGGAGAAAGGCCGAGACGATAAGTCAACCAAGCTGATCCATTATCTCTGTTAAGGGTATATAAGTGGGGCAGGTCACGCCAAAGGAACAGCCCCAGCTGAGCCAAGGGCTATCCTCATTTCAGTTTACACTGTTCTTCTGTTCCCTTCCAGCCACCTTAACCCTTGCCTTCCTGGGCCCCCCCCATCCCTGCCCTATTGATTTATGTATTTATTTCTTCATATTTACAGCCCACCCTTCCCGCAAGTGGGCTTGGAGCAGGTAACAACATTTCATTAGCACAATAAAAGCAACATTTCATTAATACAATAAATAATTAAGAAGAAGAAGAAGAGAAGAGATTGGATTTATACCCCACCCTTCACTCGGAGTCTCAGAGCGGCTTACAAACTCCTTTCCCTCCCACAACAGACACCCTGTGAGGCAGGTGGGGGCGGAGAGAGCGCTGAGAGAACTGCCCTTGAGAGAACAGCTCTGACAGAACTATGGCTTGCTCAAGGACATCCGGCAGCTGCAAGTGGAGGAGTGGGGAATCAAACCCGGTTCTCCCAGGTTAGAGTCCGCACACTTAACCACAAGGCCAGCAGTTGTTAGAATGGGTAGCAAATACTTGGAGCAGCATGGGTGGGACATGATGGCTCTCTTTAAATACTTGAACGGCTGTCATGTGGAGGAGGGCAAGGAGCTGTTCCAGTTGGCAGCAGAGGAGAGGACCCAAAGCAACGGGTTTAAGTTACATGCAGAAAGGTATCGGCTGGATATTAGGAAAAACTTTTTCACGGTCAGAGTGGTTCAAAGGTGGAATCAGCTGCCTAGAGAGGTGGTGAGCTCCCCTTCACTGGCAGCTTTCAAGAAGAGGCTGGATATTTGTCAGAGATGCTTTAGGCTGGCCCTGCACTGGGCAGGGGGGTTGGACTAGATGGGTCTGTGTGGCCCCTTCCAAATCTATGATTCTATGAAAACCTCAGGGAGGCCAGATATGCACGTCTGCAGCCTCAGCCAAAGGCTTGGCGGAACAGCTCCACCTTACAGGCCCCGTATTCAGTGTTAACTTAGGCAAAGGTGGTCTTAATGATTCTGGGGCCCTGGGCAAAATTTGAGGAGGGGGCCCAACGCTATGAGCCTCTCACTGTCCTTATCCGCTCTGGGAGGCTGGCGTGGGGGGGGGGCCTCCAAAACAGAGCAGGGGCTACCCAGCACAGGGGCCAGGGCACTCGCCCTGGTCTCCCTGTGGCTCAGCCTGCCACTGAATACAGGCACGAAGATTTGGGGGTGTCGATTTCTATCCGTTTTGATGTCTGTAAGCCTCCTTGAGCTATGGGGGAAATGTCACAGAATATTTTAAGTGAACAAATGAAAGTTCTTCCAGGCAGAGAGAAGAATTCTCCTTCTACAACAACTGGGAATGCTTTTTAACTGTGGTCTGAGATACATACATGGACATACAGTGGAGAAATGTGGGGGACAGCAGAAGTAATGTGTTGCTATCCCCCTTGGGGAGGGCGGCGGGGGGGGGAAACAGCAGGGTGTAAGAAAGGGTTGCCAACCTCCAGGTGGTAGCTGGAGATCTCCTGGGATTACAACTGATCTCCAGGTGAGAGAGGTCAGTTCCCCTGTGGGGGTATAAATACGATTAAGTAAAACAGCAAGAGAATTGCTATTTCAGAGCCTGCTATTTTTTTTCTGCCCCCTACCAAAATCTCGGATCCAAGTCATTTTTGAGCAAATAAAACCATCTCTTAAATTTTTCACTCATATGTTCTTTCATAGGAGTTGTTTTTAAAAATCTTCCCCCAAATTTGCAATTGGAATAACCAAAAAGAAGTCTGAGAAGGGGGAGCAAAACTAGTCTGGCTCCTAGCATATGCTTGTACCTAACAATAAACAGACATAAGAACATAAGAGCCCTGCTGGAGCAGACCAATGGTTCATCTAGTCCAGCATCCCATCTCACACAGTGGCCAACCAGTTCCTCTGGAGAACCAACAACAGGGCAGAGAGGCCATAAGAGCCCTGCTGGATCAGACCAGTGGTCCATCTAGTCCAGCATCCTGTCTCACACAGTGGCCAATCAGTTCCTTTGATGGCCAACAACAGGGCAGAGAGGCCAAGGCCTTCCCCCTGATGTTGCCTCCTGGCTCTGAAATTCAGGGTTAATTGCCTCTGAATGTGGAGGTTCCCCTCAGCCACCATGGATAGTAGCCATTGACAGACTTATCCTCCATGAATGTATCTAACCCCCTTTTAAAACTATTTATTCCTGTGGCCATCACTACATTCTCTGGCAGCGAATTCCACATTTTAAACAGTCTCTGTGTAAAGCAGTATTTCCTTTTGTCGGTCCTTAACCTACTGCCCACCAGCTTCCTTGGATGCCCTCAAATTCTAGTATTTTGGGAGGGGGAGACACAGGGTCAAGCACTCACTCGCACCACCGCTCTGCACTACCGTCACAGCAAGACTCAGCAACACTACTGATTTTGGCCTCACCTATCAGAGAGGTGTCTGCAAAGGGCCTGCCGTCCCTGTGGAATATCATGCAAGGAAGTGCTTTCGTGCTGTCTCGTAACTGGAGGGAGCCACTACTGGAAGAGGCTCTCAGTATTCCAAGTAGCACCTGCAGAACCAAATAAAAAAAGCAATGAACATTTGCCAGCTTTCTATGCAAAAGAAAACAAAGGCCATGACTTACATGTGGATTATTTTCACGTCCTGGAAATGTCCTAGAGCCCAACATTATTGGGAAATGGTTTCCTTTATGTTGTCGAAAGGTCTTGACTGTGCATCCCTGAGGGGTTTCCTCTCCAGAATATTTTTTTTACTTAATTATATGGGTCAGTACCAAAAAAAAGCCAAGGGTGCCTTCTTAGTACATATAATGACTGCCACCAGACTTGCTAAGGTGTTGTGTGCTAAGTACTGTTAAAGTCACGTCCAACTTATGGAGACCCTATGAAATAATGACCTCCAAAACGTCCTATAGTTGACAGTCTTGCAAATTGAGGGCCATGGCTTCTTCGATGGAGTAAATCCATCTCATGTTACGAACATGAGAAGAGCCCTGTCTCAGACAGTGGCCAACCAGTTCCTCTGGAGGGCCAACACCAGGGCATAGAGGCCGAGGCCTTCGTAAGAACATAAAAAGAGCCCTGCTGGATCAGATCAGTGGTCTATCTAATCCAGCACCCTGTCTCACACAGTGGCCAACCAGTTCCTCTGGACATCCAACAACAGGGCGTAGAGGCTGAGGCCTTCCCCTGATGTTGCCTCCTGGCTCTGGGATTCAGAGGTTTAGTGCCTCTAAACATGGAAGTTCCGCTCAGTCACCATGGCTTGTAGCCACTGATAAAGTTATTCTCCATGAATCTATCTAATCCCCTTTTAAACTTGTTTATTCCTGTGGCCATCACTAAATCCTCTTGCAGTGAATTCCGCATTTTAATCAGTCTATGTGTAAAGTAGTATTTCCTTTTGTCCATCCTGAACCTCCTACCCATCAGTTTCATTGGATGCCCTTGAGTTTGGTCTTCCTCTTTTCCTGCTGCCTTCAATTTTTCCTAACTATTGTCTTTTCCAGTGACTCTTGTCTTCTCATAAAGTGAACAAACTACAATAGCCTCAGTTTAGTCATTTTAGCTTCTAGGAACAGGCTAGCTAAGGTATGGAAGGTTAAAGTAAGTCCTACAAGAAGAATGTTTGTTGACAATTAAAGCTTTTTATTTAATCATTATCTCCTCTGCAAAGAAATGAAGATTTCTCCAGCATAGATGTAGAAGAGAAGAAGAGACTGGATTTATACCCTGCCCTTCACTACCCAAAGGAGTCTCAGAGCAGCTTACAATCTCCTTTCCCTTCCCCTCCCTACAATAGAGAGAGCCTTCTTTTTTTTTTTTTATCTTGTTGTTGTAAACTGCCCTGAGCCAGCCTTGGCCGGGAGGGTGGTATAAAAATCAAATAAATCTAATTTCTTGAGAACTGCCCTTGAGAGAACAGTTCTGAAGTAACTTGTGACTAACCCAAGGTCACACCAGCAGCTGCATGTGGGGAATCAAACCCGGTTCTCCCAGATTAGAGTCCGTTCTCCTAACCACTACACCAAACTGGCTCTCAGTCTGGCAAAACAAAGACTTTGGAAGACTTTCCCCCCCTTTTATTCACATGCACCTGTATGTATAATTACAAAATGAAATAAAAATATTAAAAAATTACGTGATGTCCCCCTATACTTCCCTGGCAACCATAAAACAAAAACCACATGTAGAGAACACTATGCCACCTGTAACTGCGTGTATCTGTACATAAAAAATGAGAACAGACACTTTCCACACATTTCCCAAGAGCAACACTGTAATACCATAATGAGAACGTATGCCTTTTTTTCGAGTGTCCAAAGCACTAAGCGGGTGTCACAAGGCGATCTTCTTGGCCACCTGCAAGAAAGCAGATCTGAACACTTACCATCGGGGGTTTAAAGCTCTCAGACGATAACACGCAGTAGGACCCAGTTTGCGGGTCAGCTCTTGGGCACCTATGTGCTGGACCTCTGGGGCGCAGCTCATCTGATGCGAAGGACTGAGACTTTCCAGACATCTCTCCTCGACCATCGGGAACAGCAAAGAGAAAGACGGGATCTGGCATGGAGGCTCCAGAGTCTGATACTAAAAAGAGAGATGGAAGCCAGTCAAGTTCTCTCCCCACCTGGAGATTAGAGCGAAGGGGGAAAGGGAGGACCACTCTACCTGCTCTAGGGGACAGTGGTGCCTTTCTGCCAGGATCTCCCGATGAATATCTCTTGCTTGTTTCCTGGATGGCATCAAAGAGTTCAGAATGGGAATAATGAATTTCTCAGCCGCCCCTGCAGCACTGTCGCTGGAGCAGAGCAATAGCTGCCGCCGCCGAATGAAACAAGAGAACCTAGGAGGAATCGCAGAAGCCACAAAGTTCCTTCAGGGTTAGAGCAACTTTTAAAATAACTGCAGAAGAGGAAAAGAGGTGGGAGGAGAATACGAAGGGAGAACAGTCGGAGATGATGAGGGCAAATACTTATAGCCCAACCTTCAGTCCTGTTCAGTCTCCCAAAACAGATTGCAACCAGTTTATTATTTATTACTTTCGTCTTACTATCCCGCGAAGAATATACAACAAGCATCTAAAGCAACAAATTTAAAACAACAGGGATAGACTCCAGCAAAGTAAAACGGAAGTCAGCATCAAAATAGCATCTCCCTGATGCAGAAGAAAATCAACCGATTTACAGACACCAATTCCAGCAAGTAGCAAAAAGCCAGTAAGAATTAAGAGACGTCACATTTCCAGAAATTCTGAAGCCGGGGGGGGGATCCTCCAGAATGTGGAGATCTATGAAGAAACTGAAATACATACAATATCCTTTCAAGCCTAAACTTATATTACTGATTTAAGACATGAAATGCACTATTTGTTACTTAGTGTATACAATTGTAATACTTGGCATATTAATGGAATTTCAAAATATAAATGTATTTATTAGTTCAATTTATACCCCGCCCTCCCCACCAAGGCAGGCTCAGGGCGGTTTACATAAAAATCCATATATAAATACAATTAAGGTAAAAAGGTAAAGGTTTCCCTTGCTCGAAAGCCAGTCGAATCTGACTCTAGGGAAGCAGTGCTCATCTCTGTTTCCAAGCTGAAGAGCCAGCACTGTCCGAAGACGTTTCAGTGGTCATGTGGCCGGCATGACTAGACACCGAGGCACACGGAACACTATTACCTTCCCACCAAAGCGGTACCTATTTATCTACTTTCAATTTCTTGCTTTCGAATTGCTAGGTTGGCAGGAGCTGGGACCAGAGATGGGAGCTCACTCCGTCACACTGCACTCGGGTCTCGAACTACCGAGCTTTCGATCTGCAGCTCAGCGTCTTAACCACTTGAGCCACCGCAGCCCCTTGTAAACCATTCATAAAAACAACCATAAACAATTCATTTATCAATTATCCTAAATGCTGGAACAGTGATCTAATAAAGTGCGAGAACAGAAGGTCTACTTGACATTGGATGCAGAAAGCTAATTCTGTAGTGAAATCAAGAAAGCGTATTGTTTGGACCAAAGTTTTCATAATAGACTACCGGATATCAGGGAGCTGTAGTTAAAAAATTTAGAACCTTGAGAACACCGAACACTGGATTTGTCATTTTCTAATGCTGTAAATTGTCTGACACAAAACATTTTCATACTACGTGCTTTGAGGGAAACTTTGTCTTAAAAAGCGTTTCACTCAGTTTAAAAGGGAACAAAAAAAATTGAAAGTATTTTTGTTAGCGCTAACCAAAATCTCCCAGTTTTTCCACAGGGAAAAAATGGGGGGGAGGGTCTTTTTTTTAAGAAGTACGTTTTCCTCAGGCCTTCACATCTGATACCAAGCAAACTTCCCTCGGGAGGAAATTCCTGGGATGGTGCAAGCAAAGTATAGAGCACCAAGAGACAGCAGAAAGGGGGATTCTTCAGGGAGAATCTCATCTTAAATGACCTTACACAATTTGGACTATGACTTCTCTGAGAGAAGACCATCAGGTCCCTTGTACACTGTTCTAAAGGTTGGGCGAGCGATTCAAAAGTCATCTTCATCCTGTATTCCGGATAGAGTCCATCCAAGGAGCCAGACAAAAATGTTGTACTCTGTAACTTGAGAATTCTAAGGCTTTGAAAACAGGGGTCTCCCAATGTGGCAACTGTGGGTGCCAGGGCTCCCACCTCCCCTCTCCCATGGCGCCTCCAAAGTGTTTTGAGAA